GAAAGGGTCAAAAGGCTCCAGAGGTTGACGTCGAGGGAGATGTGAGCATAGGATCGACATCTGAGTGCATATTATCTCATATTTCTTGTGATAACCATTTGAGTAGAAAAACAATCCGATGGGAGGCAACGGCCGGGTATTGACAGACCTATCGGTGGATTTGATGTCAAAGTCGGCCAAAAGGATCGGTGATATAGAGCTGGACATGAATGTCATGAACGCTAAGACCCGACACCCGCACCACCAGAATCCAGATGTATGTCCACTAATTGACTGAATACCATGAATACTAATAACTGAAAACCTATTGGTGTAGGAGTCGGGCAATGAGGAGGACGTGGCTCTACAACAAACACAGGGGACTCCTGATGCCACTCCTGATCCCGGTGCGAACCCTGACAATCCGCCTCCTGGAACTCCAGTGAATTCCGTGAACCCAGGTAATGATACTGGAGCTGATAATGGAGGGCCGCCTATAAATCCAAATGACACGACCACTGCCGAGCCTTCACCCCCCGAAGCTCCAACATCCGGTACCTTACCTCCCGATGTTCCACCTGCTCCACCCACCACATCAACAAAGTCCCCACAGACTAAGCCCTCGGCTGGCAAATCGACGGCCCTTATCATCATTATAGTCATTGTGGTCATCATCTGTGTCGGAGGGGTTGTCATGTTTTTGTGGTAAGCAATGGGTTGTCATACGAGTCGACGATTGCTCTAAACGATAGATTCATTTGTCTTTTGCTCCCATTTATAGGTACTTTATGTCGGCCGCAGACAAGAGTCAAAGTGAGCGAAAACCGTCGGAAGAGAACAGAATCGGCGGTAAGACTACTGTCTGTCCTATGATTGTAATTAGGGTTTCATTTATGACTTCCTGTCTATCAATAGCGGCCGCAGTCACAAAGCCTATGCCAACCACAGCCGGACCTCCCGGTGTGCCCCCATCGGAGGGAAAGGGAGCACAGGATTTGAAGCGTAAGTCTGACGAAAAATTGGATCAAAAACCCGGCTCTAAGGAGGCGTTGGGGGTGAAGGAGGGCTCCGATGATAAACCCGCTTCAGGTGAGGGCAAGGATGCGAAGAAAGAGTCGGACACCGCCGGCGCCGACACTAAGGCCGCCGATCCCAAGCCTAAGTCCGCCGAACCAGACGTTCCCGAACTCTAAACAAAACACCGATTCTTACAAATGATTTGTTTTGTAATGTGTTTTGAATTTTTCTAATTCTTATGTATTTTATTGTATAAATTCTTCTAAATTTTATGCTTCAATTGAATATACATTTTATGTTAACATAGTTTTCATTTATTTATTATTTTTTGTTATCTGTACTCTTTATAAAAGTAGAAATTTATGTATAGTTTTATTAATTATATAAAAACATAAATAAAAATATTTATTTTACTGTATAAAGTAATGAACAAATATTTTGAATCATAGAAAACAATACAATACACACGAGAATCTATTATACATTTTCCCATTTCATACTAGTTTTGAAATATTGTAAATTATTTCTAAATCGTTAATTTTTGTTGAACTAAATAACAGTCATATTTGTGACAGAAATACTTGAATATATAAATTATTTTACAAATCAGTGACAAAGAAATGGTAAAAGACTTGACAATAAAATCGGAAAAACTAAACAAACAATTGGTGGACAAGAATATTGCGTTAAGTAAGGCTCGAAAAGACAATATCAAAGTATTGGACGAAACTATTCTTTTATTGAATGAAAATGCCGTCAAATATGACAAGGAATCCATTGAAATTGACAAACACTTCAAGAATAAGTATAATAAGTATTTACTGGTGTTGGGGGTCGTATTGGGCGCACTGTTCACCTTTGGTTTCGGTAGCATTTTGTTTGGCTCAACCAAAACGGATAGGGATTTCTCAGTAGATTATTATTGATTAGTTGATTAGAAACAAATAATTTTATAATTCATAAACAAATGTCTAATTTTATTTCAATTCCTATATTATATTGTAGTTATAATACAATAAATAAAATCACTTTTAAACTTAATAAATCAGTTTATTTATACCTAGTGTAAATAGATTTTAATTTACTTTATTTTGTTCATATGTTTTTCGCTCTAATTAATAGAAATCACAATAAAAAATAAATACAAAACACATAATGTAATTAAGTTCACAGAATATTCTGTTCACTTATAAGTTACAGTATAACACAAAACTAATGACAACTACACTAACAGTAAACCATAACTTCTTGACAACTAATTATCACTCAATTTGTACTCTTAATGGCCATCAGCTCATCGATGATAGACTCGTCCGAAATGGTGGATAAGTCACCCAATTCTCGGTCATTCCTCGCGATCTTCGCCAATATTCTTCTCATTATCTTTCCAGACCTGGTCTTTGGCAACGCTTTCACAGAGTATATGCACTCAGGGGTAGCCAACGGCCCGATCTTATCGCGAACTGTACGGTAAGTATAAGACAATTATATCTCAAGAATATTACCACAAATCGATGACTAAATACCTCTTTGTTTGATATCCGTCTCGAGGTCTAAGTCATAGATCTGTTGGGATTTTAAGACAACAAAACAACAAATGGCTTCGCCTTTGATGGGATGCGGCATCGATACCGACGCCACTTCTGCGACCCGTTTGTTGTCCAATATGGCCGACTCGACCTCCGCGGTGGACAGTAGGTGTCCCGACACGTTCAGCATGTCGTCCGTACGCCCGGTCACCCAATAGTAGCCGTCTTTGTCCCGCACAGCGCCTATAGGTTTCGTATTTTGTTAGAGAATATTCTTACGGTTAGGGAAGTCGTGTCTTAAGCATACCATCGCCGGTGAAGTAGTATTTGGGAAACTT